AAGGCTATATACGATCCTCAAAAGATACTTTGATGCTTAAAGCGAATCCACCCCGACCTGAATTGTGATCAATAAAAGGCTACACTCACACCGTATCCGGAAATTTGTCGACGGAAAATCGATCAACGGAAGTTTGGTCGAAAAGGACATTTGATCAAATTTTATTTTCAGTTCACACGATCGAGTTTTGAGTCAAATTTCTTTTTGAACGCATTATTTTGGTTTTACTAGTATAGTATAGTTCGTTCAAAAATAAATTTTACGAAAATTTGATTAAAAAAAACCAAAAAAAAAAAACAACAAAAACAATGGAAAAGTAATCATCCTACCAGCTACTGGCGAGGTTCTAAATATATAGACGCCAGGCTGAAAAATATGTTAGGGTTGTTGTATAACAAAGCAAAATGAAAGATGCAACGGATTGAGCTGACTTTTTGAGCTAATTAATTTTTTTGCTCATCCCTAATGCACGATTTGCCCCAGGTGAAAGACAGCGCAACATTTATAGTCCTATTTAAGCGCAGGTTTGTGCTCATTGTTTATTTTAGTTTGTTCAAAAGTCAGTTATGTACAAATGAGACAACAAATACAAAAGTACTGTGCAGTTTATGGACAACAAGATAGTAGAAAATATGACAGTAGGTTGACAATATGTATGACAATGACAAGACAAATAGAACAAATCTGACAAGATATACTAAAAAACAACAGTTATGACAATGTACAAACTAGACTTCACAGCTAACATAAAATTATCCTACAGTGTTATAAATAGGGCCAGAAGAAACCTTTACTGTTTTAATAAAAAAACTTCCCTATGAAAGATAACGCCGTGGATATCCCTACAGTATACTCTAAAATTAAACTTATAATATACAGAAAAAGTAAAAAATTTACTTAATCTAATTAAGTATTATATAAGTAGATTTTTAAAGTCTTAAATTATATATAATACATAACACATAATATAAATAAATACCAAGTGAAAGTGTCCAAAAGAAATCTGTAGTTGGTCACCTCTGCTCCTCTGTGACGCTATGATTTCTGTGTAGTCGATAATCCTATGTAGTAGATAATCCTTCTATGGAGTGGATAATCCTTCTATGTAGAAGTGTACTTGGGTAAAATAATCCAATGAGAAAAGTTACACCACAAATTGCTGCAATAATCCAATGCAAGTACCTTGCGTAATAGTGTAATTGTGATAATCCAATAATTGAAAATTGTCTACTTTCTCTCCGAGTCTGTTGAACTTGTGAGTAATTGAAGAATTACTTGAAGAATTATTTGACTTGAATTGCGCACTAGGCTTTGTGCGGCTTGTATAAAGTACAGATTATGCTGGGGAAATCTTACTTCCGATGTCTTGATAAAACATATCTGTAATGACGTCAGACTTCTGTTGGTCTTGTGTAGTGGATCATCTCTTTCGTGGACTAATAACTTGAAAATAGATTTCTTGCTGTTTCTTCCACGAGAATATTCACTCCACTGTTATATAATTGAAGCAGTGTACCAGTTAGCTGTTTGAACTCTGAACTTTTGACTCCCGTGACTGACCTGAATTGTCGGCTAGCTCTGTGTGTAGTGGACTCTTCTCAGACTTGACTGATACACGGACGTAATGACGTTCGATGTATGTTTCCGCTCGAATGTTAAAATATATCGTTGTTACTCAATGTTCTGTAATACATCGTTGTTCTGACACTTCTGACACCATTTGTAACACATCTACTCTGACATGGCGTGGGATCTTATTTCTTATGCTGTGGGTTATGTCAGTAGTATGGTTACGTATGTTATGTTAATACTTCAGGATGCCGACTAAGTCTTCTTCATTCTTTCACTTATTATCCAGGCACGTAAAGAAGAATACTCAATTCTAGTTAAAACTCACAGTACTTTATTGAACACACTTTATACTGATAATATTAATGATAATCCTTGCATGAATGTAATTTCACATATATATATAGTATTATTCCATCATTCAGAAAGACACGTCCTCACACTACTATAACTCAGCTCAACTGTCTAATCACACAGCTCTCCTAGCTCTACTGTTCTCTACTGCTCTGCGCTCAGCTCTCCCTATATCAGTCAACTCATACTTTATTACCAGCAAAGCGTGGAAAACAACCGCTCTGACAAAAACATAATTTTACTCTCCAAAAACGTGGAGCTCACATTGTCCTCTCAAAATACAATTCATTGTCCTCGTGGACAAAACATGGTCAACACCATTCACTGTTCACTCATGCTACCTCTCT